GGGGGGGGGGGGGGGCAATAGAATGCAAGTGTTGTTTTTTTTTTATTCCGTCAGGGGCCACATACGCCCTGAAAAGTTCGACGGACAAGGATGGCCACACGTGCAACAGGAGGGAAAGGCAGTCGGGCGGGGGGCGGAGACATGTCCAGCTTAGTTGCGGTTCTTGGCATAGAACTTGTTGAACTCACGGCCGATGAGCATGCGGCGGATCTCCGAAGTGCCGGCGCCAATCTCATAGAGCTTGGCATCGCGCATGATCCGGCCAGCCGGGTAGTCGTTGATGTAGCCGTTGCCGCCTGCACATTTTCGATAGGTTGGGGGAGCATGTAGAGAGAGAGGGAGAGAGGGGGGGGGGGAGGGGTATCAGACAGCCTGTTGCATGCTATAGCCTCCTGCAGGACGGCGAAATAAAGTGTCTGCACGTACCCAGGCACTGGATGGCATCGAGAGCCACCTCGGTGGCGCGCTCGGCACAGTAGAGGATGACACCGGCACAATCCTTGTTGGACACCTGGCCACGATCACAAGCACGAGCCACGGCGTACAGGTACGAGCGAGAGGCCATGGTCTTGGTGTACATGTCGGCCAGCTTGCCCTGCATGAGCTGGAACTCACCAATCGGCTGACCGAACTGCTTACGGTCATGGACGTAGGGGACCGTGATATCGAGGGCGGCCTGCATGAGGCTGTGCATGGCGAGGGTGGTGGTCGTGAGAGAACATCGGGGGGGGGGGGGGGGGGGGGGGAGAGGCAATTGTTAGGACTGGCATATTGGGCGGGAGGGGGGGGGGGGGACTGCGAAAGTAGAGGTCGTCTCAGGAAAGGGGCGAGACGCACCCGACCGGACCGGCAGCCAGAACCAGACGCTCATAGTCGAGACCGCTCATCAGGACGTAAACACCCTTGCCCTCCTCACCGAGGATATTCTCGGCCGGGACCTCGACATTGTCGAAGACCAGCTCACAGGTGTTGGAGCCACGCATGCCCAGCTTGTCCAGCTTGGGCGAGGTGGAGAAGCCGGGCATGCCCTTCTCAACCAGGAAGGCGGTGATGCCATGAGGCCCGGCCGAGGGGTCGGTCTTGGCGTAGACCACGAGCACATCGGCATCCGGGCCGTTGGTGATCCAGAACTTGGTGCCGTTGAGAATGTACTTATCGCCTTTGGGCCATGGGCCGGTCGGAAGCAACAAGGGAGAGAGGCCGAGGAGAAGGGAGGGAGAGAGACAGAGAAAGAGCAGCAGCAGCAGCAGCAGAGAGAGAGAGAGAGAGAGAGCAGCAGCAGCAGAGAGAGCAGCAAAAAGGTCAGGACCATGGGTCGGCATGGGTTGGCACAAGGCTCGAGTCACGAATACGCACCCTTCTTCACGGCCGACAGACGCATGGAGACGACGTCACTGCCGGAGCCGGCCTCGGACATGGCCAGAGCACCGATGTACTCACCGGAAATGAGCTTCGGCAGGTACTTGGCGCGCTGGTCGGCATTGCCGTTGCGCACGATCTGGTTGACGCACAGGTTCGAGTGGGCGCCATACGACAGGGCCACAGAGCCGGAGGCACGGGAGATCTCCTCCATCACCAGGCAGTGGGCGAAGTAGCCCATGTTGACACCGCCATACTCCTCCGGGGCGGTCATACCGAGAACACCAAGGTCACCCAGCTTGCGCCACATGTGCTGCGTAGCAATGCATCCCCGGTGTAGAGACCAGCAGGGCGTGAGTGGGCGAGACCGGGGCAGAAAGGCCATGGTTGTGGAGGAAAGCAGAACGCGGCACAGCTGGCCCGCAAAGGGGCGGCGAGCGCTTGACGGCACGCACCATGGGGAACTCGTTCTCCTTGTCCACCGACTGGGCAATGGGGGCCAGCTCGGCGGCGCAGAAGTCACGCACGGTGTTGCGCAACATCTGCAGGTCCTCCGGCAGGTCAGACAGGGCGTCGGTGTTGAAGGGATCCATGGACATGGCACGGGTGACCAGGGCCGGGCCGGGCCGGACAACGGCCTGCTTCGCCGCGTGGCGGCTGGTAGCAGCAATGGCGGTGAACATGGTGGAGGATGGGGAGAAGGGGGAGGGAGGGCAGAAAAGGGAAAGGCGGAGGAACAAGCGCGGCTTCACCGATCTTGGCTGGCGCGATGCTCCCGGCGCGGAGAAGGGTCGTGGATGCGCCCGAAAAATTCCCCCATCAAAAGACGACTTAGCCCGGACCCAGGAGCCCGAAGACCAGAGGAAGGGACGGAGGTCGTATCTTCGGGGAAAA